TCTGCAAGTTTAGGTTATTTCTTTTTTTATTGATCAATCCGAAGATAAAGCAAAATGGTAATGTTAAAGCAGTTAAAAGTCACAGGTTTTGACATGTCCTTGAAACCTAGGAAACTTTGAGCAGACTATTGTAACTGAACCATGGAATTGCCAAATCTTCCATATGATCCCAAATATTTTTTGTTCCCTGAGGTAAAAGTGAATGACACAATATACTGATTACAATTTGTTACCTCTTGAATTATCCATGTAACATAGGGGAACTAGGCATGTCTGACATGTTAAATACAGGAACATGTATCCTTTTGTTTGATGCAAAGTGTCGCATGACTTCTTTTTATGCGTGATTCGGATATCGATCTGCACGTGTAGACACAATTGATTTAATTTGCTGTGTTCAAGTAGTCACTCTGGCACCAGGTTGATTTAGCCTTTGTCACAGGATGCATTTTTGTTTTTGGTTATGTATTGTTTCCCTGCACTTCAACATGTTCTTTCTCCTGGTATCTGCAGATTTGAGGCATGCTCTTGTACTAAAACCGCAGAACAAGGTTGCCAATCTTGCAGAAAAGCGGCTAAGGAAACTTACAAGCTGAATACCCTGCCCGCTCCCACTGGATAAAAAAAGAAAAAGAAAAAGAAAAAGGAAAAGTAAAAATAATAATAAAAAGCACAAATATGACAATGACAATGAACTTTTTTTTAAGAATAATAAATAAGAAATAAAAGCAGTTTGATGGGCTTTTAGTTTTATAAATAATTGAAAATTTTTATTTTTTATCTAAGTAATTCTGATATTGAAAATTATGCTGGACTTGAGCGATTGATTTTCTTTATTATAATAAGATACGTCTATGTTTTACTCCTCATGCATTGAGTTGGTATTGAACTTACCTGCACATGATGAAAGCAATTTGGGTCAAAATAGTCATATAAGATAAAATAAGTGATTTTAGTTAAATAAGACAAAATGTCATATTTAATTTATAATTATTATTATCTTTTTTTTTCACGGAAGTTAAAAAATTTATCTCAAATAAATTTTTTTAATTCTGGATTAAAATAATTAAAAAGTCAACTCACATCATCGTAAATGATCTTCAAATTAGAAAATTGACTGGATAATGATAGTTCTTGGATTTTTTTTTCTTGGGTAACACGAGTTCTTTTCAAAATTTATGTTCAGTCACATGTTTCTTCTTATCATTTCGATCAATTTAAATAGTTTTAATTGTTAATGCTTTCTTGTCATCTTTCTTTTACCAACCATTTTTGTATTAACATTTTATTTTAATTTATGATGTAACAGTGATGCGACCCCACGCACAAAGCGCGTGGGGTCAACTAGTATTTTAAAATAGAAACACGGCCAACATTACTTTTAATTACAAAAATTGTCTTTGTATAAATTTTTTATAAAATTAATTTTTTTTTGAATAGTTAAATAGGCTTTCTTGATCGGTGTATAATACGTATAGAATTTTTGTATAAATTTTTTATAAAATTAATTTTTTGAATCATTAAATAGGCTTTCTTGTTTGGTAGCCTTTTAATTTTCTGTTTTTCATTTTAAAATTTAAAAAATTGAAAATAAAATTTTGTTTGGTAATTATTTTTATTGGCAGAAAATGACAAATTGTCAAAAATTGAAAAAAAAAATTATTCACTTGTTTTGAAAACAAGTTTTCATTATTTCTTGGCCACGTTTGTTTGGTGAATTAAATTGAATGAGATTGTTAGTGAGTAGATAATTAGTAAAAAGATTGTTAATGTGAGAATTGTTAGTGAGAGGATTAAATAAAAGTGTGTTTATTTTGATGATAGTGGGAAATATGGTTAGTAATGAGATTGTTAAATTATTTTTATATAAAATAAAAAAATATATTTCGTACTCGTCTGACTTTGTAGTTTGATAAGAGAGTAAAAATGGCCAGGGGGTCATCGTGGGGGTAATGAACGCTAGTGCAATCTGCCTCTATAAAGGTGATCAACTCAATCCATTGTTTGGGTTGTTTGTAGGGGCGGTCCACAGTTGTTACCAATGTTTTAAAAACCGGACCGGTGAGCGAACCGGAAAAGGGATCGAGTGGACGGATCACCGGTTCAACTGTCGGATTGAACCGGAATCAAACCATGATGTCATAATTATTTTATAAATATTTTTATGATTTAAAAATAAATAAAATACATTCATTAAAAATATTTTTATAATTTAATATATATTTTTGTATTAATATTAATTGTAAAAATATTAATTATATATGTGTTTGAAACAAATTAGTTTGAATACAATTAATATTATATATTTCCTACATATTAACAAAGAACCATGGTGGAAGAGTGAAAATTCATGTTCTTTGAAGCTTGTGATGTTGGGTTCAAGTCCCTTCAACATCAACTTTTTCAACATTTGACCAAATTTAGCAAACCGGTCTAGTTTGTTTTAACCCAGACTAGGTCGGCCGGTTTAGCGGTTCCCACCGATTTTGCTTAAAATGGCGAGCATATCCGGACCGGACCATGGACCAATCGACGGTTTAACCAGTCGAACTAGCCAGTCCGATCCAGTTTTCAAAACATTGCCTCTACCTAGCAAAACTAATCCGGCCACTGAGAAAGATTGTTAATACCATTGGAGTGTTAGTCCAAGATCTACAAGAGTGAACCAAACATGGCTTCATAGACCCAGGAGGTGTCACAATCCAATCTCATCCTCTAAGCGACTAAACAAAGGTGACCTTAGTTCTTTTATCTCTAACAACTCACCAAAACATTTTTTCACAAAAATGACAAATATATATATATATATATATATTCTATATTTTTCTGCATACAAAATATAAAAGATTGACAGCATTACTAAATGCTACCTAACAGTTTCCTTTTTATTAAGAAAAAAGTGTTTTATAGCAAAGGAATTATTCATGTGTTTGGTTCCAATTGTTTGAAAATTGAATTTTTTATTTTTCGTATTTTTATGTTTTCAGTGATTTTTTTTAATATTTTAAACAATTTTTTTTATATCTGACTTAAATGTACCTAAAACGTAAAATATTTGTAAAAAAATATTTTAAAAAATCCATAAATATACAACAATACAAAAATGTATGGAATTTTGATTTTTTTTTATATTTTTGATATTTAGTGAATTTCTTTTTAAAAAAATTCACAAATATTATATTTTTTAATTGTACAATCAAATACAAATTATCACATGAGTTCTAAAATTGTGTCCTTGTAAATTAATATTTTGTGATTTATTTAGAAGTAGTTACCAATCAAAAGTAATCTTCAAAAATTATTATACATTAATAAAAAAATTATTAATTTAATTATTAATATTTATCACATTTTAAAAAAAAATTCCCTGATTCCACTGACAAATTCCCTTAATTTTACCTAGAAATGGGCCATTGAAGGTACAATTATGTTTTACAAGCCTGGCCTAGATCCAACACATAGCCACTCCCAAGTTAAAAGGGCCCATCTATTGGTTGGTCCACTGACCATTGACTGTCTGTCATGGATGGTATAGTAAAGAAGAAATTATCAATAATTTAATAAAATCATTTCATATTCATGAAAAATTTATAATTTTAATTATTAATATTTATAAATTTTACTACTTATTTGTAATTGTTTTTGAAATTATAACTGACATGAAATTTCCCCTATAAAAAAATAGAAAGTATAGAGTTTTGATAAACTATTTTAATAATATACAGTAACACTCTAATAAGATTATTATATAATGATTCTAAAATATGAAATTTCATAGAGAAAGTGTGTATATATATATAGATTGTTATAAAAATAGTATCAATATAATAATTTTTTTTGTTTTTTGTTTTTTTTTTCACACCATTACTCACTAATGTGTGAATACAAGAAGAACATTGTTGAAGAATGGGCAAAACAAGACAAGGCCAGCTGTAAAAGCAACAGACAGTAAATGAGGCAACCACCAACTTCATTCATTACAAATACACACACAACACAAGTCAATATACTATTACTCACTAAAAAGGCGTACCAATGCACGAAATTTTAGTTTAATTGGAGTTGAGAGAAGGGTTAATGTATGCACGAAATTAGCTTGTGACTGTGAAGAAGAGAGATCATGGAGAAGAAAAGGAGACCCTTCACCATATTAATTGTGTCTCTACTGCTACTGATCATGGTGTCTGTGGTGTTGAATTCGCCGGCTCAGGCCTGCCCATCGGACGGCAGCCAATGCAAGGACTGCATTCTGGACCGGTTTAAGTCCGGCTGCCCAGCCTGCATGCCGATTCTGCGGTGCATGGCACAGTGCTTGTGGGGCGGCGCGTCACGGGCTAAGTGTGTGAAGAAGTGCGACTGCAGTGGTGCTGATCAGTATCCAAGGCTGTCTGATTGTAAGAAGTGCATGTCCAGCTGCAGATGCAGCTGTACAACATAGAGAGAGTTAGTAGTACTAGGTGGGACTGCTTATCTGGTTATATGCTTGAATAATCTCATCTTATATGTATAGAACCAGAACTTCCTACGTTCAAAAAATATATGCATAAACTTCCATTTGGTAAGTAGAATCTTCGTGTGTTACCATTTCTTTCTTAGCTCTCTGTGTTTATATTTCCGTTTAATTACATTTTTTGTTCTAAAAATATGAGTTTTAAATTGTGTCAATTTGATAACCAAAAATGTTTCAATTTAGTCCCCAAATAGATGCAATTTGAACATTGGAGAACTAAATTGAAACACTTTTTTATATATTAGAGATCAGACTGACATAATTTAAATATTGAGGATCAAATTGAAATACTTTTATACATTAGGGACTAAAATGACACATCCATATTTTGGGAACCAAGAATGTAATTAACCCTTTATATTTGGGTTGTCACTGATCTTTCCCATATATTTTGCAATTTTCAATCATTGATCACATTGAATGATGCATCTGAGTCATTCGGTAAGCAATGAGAGAAAATGAAAGAAATAATTACTTCAGCTAGGAGAGATAAGAAAATGAGAGAAGATTGTAGTTTCTCTCCTTGCTGGATAAGAGGAGAAAAAATTTCACAGCATACCTTGGAAGTTCATCATACATGATTCAGGAAACAGGTTCCTCAAACATGGGATAATACAGTCCAACATGGTTCTAATTCTTTATTTTCCCAAATGGAGAGTTCCAAATGATTTAACATTACAAACACCGCAAAAACTACAGTTGAAGCTGCACACTTCCTAAGCCATCTTCTGAAAAACACACTAACAAATCATTGAGGTCGCAACGCACTGACACCCGCTTGAATCAAAAAGATCTTTTTTTTTTTTTTTTTTTCAAAGTGGTGATGGAAGAATCTTCCCGGAGCATGTCCCAAACCCGACATTGTAACCATTCCCCTGCAGATGCATTCAAACATTAAGCAATCAATCCATGCAGCTTGAAAGGTATTACAAGTGATAAATTTATAAAAATATAAATTTTTAACATGTCTCGCACAATATTGTGTCCTACGTCTTTTGAAAATTACCATGTCCACAAGGTGTATGTATCTTTGCTACTTAAGTGGTTACACTATATACACTTGTATATATAAAGATAAAAAATGAAATGAGAACAGCCATCCTTATGGCGTCAACAAGCCAAATGAAGAAGATAATGCGTATGATGTTTAGTTTTATATGAGCACAAATCATAATTCACTGCATCAATCACAAACCACTGCTTTCGGTCTAAAAAGAAGTAAGAAGTTAACAACCCGGTTTCACATATCCAAGGAACTGCAATAACAAGGCTTGTTTGGAATGTTTTCGTTTTTTGTTTCCATTTACTGGAAAACATAGATGGTTAAATGGATGCATGAGTCCGTAAACTAATAACTAGAAAGAATTACTGCAACATGCTAAATTGAACAGAAGAGTGGAAAAATTGTATAATACACACCTTGCTACAACCAGTAAAAATGACTTCATCTCCGTCTTCTAGAAATTTACGATTTGTTCCCCCTAAAGAAAGCTGATTTTGTCCATTCCATGTCAACTCCAGCAAGCATCCATAAGATTCTTGTTCCTGTTGGGAAATGAAGCAGATGTCCAACTTTAGGTAAAACAATAATAGGAATATTTTGGTCTAACTTTAATTTACATAGTTTTACTTATGACGTCATATATAAATACAATTGATAAATCTTACAGGGCCACTGATTGTTCCAGTCCCAAGGAGATCACCGGGCCTCAAATTGCAACCGTTGATAGTATGATGTGCAAGTTGTTGAGTCAACGTCCAATATCTATAGCACAAAGACAAGAAGTCAATAAGCTGTAAATTAAAATATGATAGACATTGTGAGAAGCAAGATTTACTTTTTTCCAAATGATCCCAACTCAAGAGTCAAGTATGTAAGTTTGAAAGTGCAAATCAAGACCAAAAAAAATGTAATACAAGTGGTTCTCGTTAACTAAATGAAAATCTCTTCCAAGGTATTTAATAATATTGGACATTGTAAAACGGAAACCCTTACAAGTGCTTGAAGTTACTCTTTGTGACAACATGTCCATGTTCTTCTCCAGCAGGTTTAATCCAAACCTTGCAACAAGATGGCAGTTTGATCATCATAATGGATGGTTTTAAAAACAAATTCTAAACAGAGCATTAAAATTTGACTACCTTACAGTCTAGAAGGAAAAATTCTACAAGGCCTAAGAAGAAATTATTGCAGACTATCATCCGCTAACGGGGGAGAAGGATGACCAATGAAATATTAGACAAACTTTACAGTACAGAGAGAGCAGCGTGAGATAATACCTCCAAAGAAATGTCATAGTTCTTGGATATCTTTTCAGCAAGATATGGCAACGGAGGAGGGTTCTGCAATTTATACACATGATTTAGTAAGTTAACTTATGAGGGGGAAAATTTAACATGACATAATGGAAACAAAACTGTGAAGTCCAATGGTTTTATGCTTTTTACAACCAAACGCAGGCACAAAGACAAGAAGTCAATAAGCAGTAAATTAAAATATGATAGACATTGTGAGAAACAAGATTTACTTTTTCCAAATGATCCCAATTCAAGAGTCAAGTATGTAAGTTTGAATGTGCAAATCAAGACCAAAAAAAATGTAATACAAGTGGTTCTCGTTAATTAAATGAAAATCTCTTCCAAGGTATATAATAATATTGGACATTGTAAAACTGAAACCCTTACAAGTGCTTGAAGTTACTCTTTGTGACAACATGTCCATGTTCTTCTCCAGCAGGTTTAATCCGAACCTTGCAACAAGATGGCAGTTTGATCATCATAATGGATGGTTTTAAAAACAAATTCTAAACAGAGCATTAAAATTTGACTACCTTACAGTCTAGAAGGAAAAATTCTACAAGGCCTAAGAAGAAATTATTGCAGACTATCATTCGCTAACGGGGGAGAAGGATGACCAATGAAATATTAGACAAACTTTACAGTACAGAGAGAGCAGTGTGAGATAATACCTCCAAAGAAATGTCATAGTTCTTGGATAGCTTTTCAGCAAGATATGGCAACGGAGGAGGGTTCTGCAATTTATACACATGATTTAGCAAGTTAACTTATGAGGGGGGAAATTTAACATGAGATAATGGAAACAAAACTGTGAAGTCCAATGGTTTTATGCTTTTAAATAATTGAGAAACATAAAGCTACCTGTTTGGGAGCATCACAAACAAAGGGTTCAAGAGCATCTAAGGTCACAATCCAAGGGGATACTGTTGTACCTGAAAGAATACACAACAAGAATTACTGTTCAACTGCTGTAACCTAGCGACACTGTTCATTGTTCTCTGATCTCTAGCTTTTCAAAATGGAAACTGTAGTGACAAAACAACAACACAAATTTCTTACCAAAACTCTTTCCAAGAAAAGGCCCAAGAGGCACATATTCCCATGCCTGAATATCTCTAGCTGTTGAACCAAATTTTAATCAATATAGCCTCCACAACTACACCGAAGAATGAATTTGGAAATGAAGCAAAGAGTATTATACATACCACTCCAATCATTCATCAACACAACACCAAAGATATGATCTGCAGCCTCATTTACATCTATAGGCTTTCCTAGTTCATTTCCAGGACCAACTACAGCAGCCTAGAAGCAATACAATAACCAACATCAGTTGAAAAACAATAGTCATAAAGATGGAAGTACAAGGAGGCAATTTCCATAAGCATAATGAACTGATATAAAATCCACAAGCAGATATTAAAATCAATTTTCAGATTTAGTGAGAATGCACGTCACAAAAGCTTACCATTTCTAGCTCAAAGTCCAGCTTCCGTGAAGGTCCAAAATATGGAGGTGAATTGCCAGCTGGATGACCTTGACCTCTGCAGAGAGGAAAGAATCAGTAAAAAGCATGAATAGAAATCCCGGAAATTATGAAAAATACGAGCATTAACGTATGAAGGAAATCTTAATCTTCACCTCTGTTCTTTGTTCGTTGAAGCACTTAATCATGAGACAATGAAATTGATACACACTAAAGACAATTCCACATACATGTATCTCTATTAGAACCATCATCATGGCTCCCATATAAAATTTATCCTCACCAATGTCGTAGATTTGAAAAAAGTATTCTTGTAACAGTCATGTATTTTAAGTGAAGAGGGTCAAATTAAGCTATCAAGGCTAGACTGGGCAAAGCAGGTGAATGGCCTTGGGCAAGCAAATGAAGGACCTGGGTTGAGCTGTTGGACCCTTGAAGTGATATCCAGGTAATGGGCCGGCCCTAAATTAGGGGTTGAGCTCGTGCATAATGGCAGGGCCAACCAGGATTTGAGCCGAACACCCTACTTAGCAAGGATCAAATGTGGGCCAGATAAGGCCCAAGTAGATTATGGCTGAGATTCTAGTGGCAAGCAAGATACAACTTGCCCGCCTGGAGTTACATGTCATATGAAGCCTTAGAGATCTCATGAGATAAGCATGACAATGTTCCATCACACACATCAGGCAATGGTTTGCCTTGTGGATATTCCACACAATAGAATAGTGGTCCCCCTAAAGGGATAATCATGACCCTACCAATAGGGAGCGAGGTATTTATGCTCATGTGATTCTTTAAGAGTAAGGAAGGAAACTCTATAAGAGGTAGACCTCATCCTCTATCAAAGGGATACACACTCTGAACCCTAATTCCCTACATTTCCTTCCTCTTATCTTCTCCTTTCCGGTCACTAACTTTTGCATCAGAGGGGGTTTCATCGGCCAAGCACCCAGCCAGTCAACATTGACAGTGTGTTCTAGTATGCAAGCAGCAAATTTCACCTCCACACAATAAGGTAGTTGTTATATATGATGTAAATTGGTTACTTAAGTCAAACACTACATTCAGCATTTGTATGCAAATAGGAACAATTGAACAAATTTTCCACTGGCACTTGGCCATACATCAATCGTAGTTTTAGGCATTCAACAATTTGAACAAGCATTCAATGTATTTATTCCTAAACATTTAGATCAAAGGGCCCATGAGGATGTATTTAGCATTGAACTCCACTTGGCATGCTTGTTTGCATTACACATTTACTAAAGAGAATGAGAAAAAATAAATCTAAGTTGTAAAAAGCACGCAGGGAAGTTATCTTCTTTCACCTTGGTCTAAATATGTCAGTGCCAGAAATAACAATAGATGATGCTCTTCCATGATATGCAATAGGAAGATGGAACCTGAAAATTTATTGAAAATTTTGAACGATTCGCTGGAAAAAATGATAAAGTATATAACAAATGGAAAACAGGGTACTGGTGCTCTAAATTTTTTACAGACAAGTGTGAAAAAAAGTAAAAATAAAAACTTTGAAATGAGAAAAAATAAATCTAAGTTGTAAAAAGCACGCAGGGAAGTTATCTTCTTTCACCTTGGTCTAACAATGTCAGTGCCAGAAATAACAATAGATGATGCTCTTCCATGATATGCAATAGGAAGATGGAACCTGAAAATTTATTGAGAATTTTGAACGATTCGCTGGAAAAAATGATAAAGTATATAACAAATGGAAAACAGGGTACCGGTGCTCTAAATTTTTTACAGACAAGTGTGAAAAAAAATTAAAATAAAAACTTTGAAACTAGCATACCAATTTGCTGGAATTGGATTCTCTGGTCCACGGAATATGGTCCCACAATTCTTTGCATGATGCATGGATGAAAAGAAGTCTGTGTAGTCTCCTATTGCAATAGGAACCAGCATTTCTACCTTGTCCTGAAGCATCATGCATAAGATAACAATTAAATTAGAATGACAAACATATATAGCCCAACTGCATATTCAGGACCACATATACACACACACACACACACATATATGTATATCTTACCATAGGCACAAGTGCTTTCTGCCTCAAACTTGCATTGTCACGTAATGCTGGTTCAGTAGCTGCATTGAACAATAGAACAGTTATTAATTTAATGTTAGATTTGACAGAAAATTGACTTTTCATCTTTTTGATGAGGATGCATATACATATATATTCAGTTCCCCCTGTCCCATTGAAGGATCATAGCTGCATTTCAAATCCAGAGTTGTCTACTCCAGTTGAGTGGAGAGAATAACTGCAGAATGAAACTGACTGAGAGAAACTTTTAGCATTACAGACTACTTTGGTGACAAGAGACAGTAGGACAAAAAAACATGGGAGAACAACTATAGCAAATAGCAATTGTCAAGGGTGGCTCGAACATTAAGTCTATTGGTAAACAACCAGAAGGTCTTAGATTCGAATCCCTACTTCGCCCAATATGTGAAGCTAGTGGGTGGCCCCAATCCCAGGTTTTACCCCCGTTCTCACCAAAGGTGGGATCAGGGATTCCTCGTTAAAAATACAAAAAACAAAGACAAAAACAAAAACAAAAAACAAATAGCATACATGACAGCAGCTTTTGAATTGTTGCACGAGCTTCCTTCCATGCAGGGCGTCCCAGACCCAGGAACTTGTTGAGATTAGGCTGGCACAGAGCATAACAAATAGCAAAACAAATATTAGCTTTCTAAACTATATACCCAGTCTGTATAAATATGAATATAAACAAACCTCAAATGCACTATGAATTTACAAACAGAATGTACAAACCACTTTCAAGTCCTACACACCTCATATGCACTGTGAACTTATAAACAAAATGTACAACCTACTTTCAAATCCTACATTATCTGCTCTTAATTTTGAAGGGATGCAAGCATTTTGAATTTCCATTGCTCCTGAAATAAAAAATCTCATCGATTTGAGATCAAATTTTCTGGAAACTTAGGTCAGAATAGTAACCAAAACATCAGTCAGTTACTGAAAAATTCAAATTAGGTCAAATTGTTGTTCGAATATCACTCAGTTTTACTCTTCCCAATCTATTTAAAACCGATAAATATATACACACACAAACATATACACGGGATTATTTCCTCCCACTTCATTTCGTTTTCTAACAGTTTCTTAGCAAACAAACAGGCCCTTATCAAATTTAAATCCAGCAATTTAGCAAAGGGATTGCAAGCATTTTGAAGTTCCATAGCTCCTGAAATCAAAAAAATTCTTCAATTTGAGCTCAAATTTTCTCAAAACCAACTTCCAAAATAGCAACCAAAGCATTACCTAGTTGCTGAAAAACTCACATCAAGTCAAATTGCTGTTAGTGCAACTCAGTTTTAAACTCTTTAAAACCAATCAATATATACAGGGTTTTTTTTTTCCTCCCAATTCATTTCCTTTTCCCAACAGTTTCTTAGCAAACAGGCAGGCCCTTATAGAATTTAAATCCAGCAATTTAAGGGATGCAAGCATTTTGAATTCCATTGCTCCTGAAATCAAAATTTTCTTCTATTCGAGCTCAAATTTTCTGGAACCCAATATCCAAAATAGTAACCAAAACATTACCCAGTTGCTGAAAAACTCAAATTAAGTTAAATTGTTGTTAGTGTAACACCATTTTACCCTCTTCAAAAACAATCAATATATACACGGGTTTTTTTGCTCCCAATTCAATTCCTTTTCCCAACAGTTTCTTAGCAAACAAACAACCCCTCAAATAAAAACCCAGCAATGCATTAAGTTAGTTTATTACCTGAATGAAGCAATCGGAGCTCTTGAGGACCGGACCGTCAAACAGGCCGGCCGAAGAGATCGCCGCGAGGTCCAAGACGTGGTCACCGATGGCCACGCCCAGTCTAGGATCGGAAGCCGGTTCGGGTTTGAAGACGCCGAAGGGAAGGTTCTGGATTGGGAAGTGAGAGTCCGGGTGCACTTCGATGAACGATTTCAGACCCATAGTCGCCGGAAAACTGCTCTGTACTGTGATTTGATTCAGCTCCGGTGAAGACGAGACTGTAAAATTCTAGAGAGAGAGAGTGATGAAGGAAATTGAGAGAAAGATAGGGGTATTTGTAGGCGGAAATTGGAATTTTTGAGTTTTTTTGAGTTTTGTAAACTTTTTATTTTTTATTATTTTAGTTAAATTTTTATTTTTTAGATATACTTAATTTAAATGTATTTTACAAATAAAATATTTGTGAATTTTTATTTTTTTTTGTATCCAGTGAATATTTTTTAAAATGAAAATTACAAATATAAAAAAATCAAAATGTATTGAATTTTTGTTTTTATTATTTTCATTTAGTTTTTCTTTCTTGGAAATACAAATTTATACTTTTTAAGCCTGTGTTTGGCAAGTGGATTTGCAGGATTTTTATTTTTTTGATATTCTTAATTTAAATGTATTTTACAAATAAAATATTTGTGAATTTTTCTTTTTTTATATTTAGTGAATATTTTTTAAAACAAAAATTACAAATATAAAAAAAATCAAAATGTATTGAATTTTTGTTTTTATTATTTTTATTTAGTATTTTTTTTTTGAAATACAAATTTATACTTTTTAAAATATATTCAAATTAAATGGATCTAAACTAAAAATTCACTAAAACATCAAAAAAATTTAAAATTCAAAAACAGTTTTTGAAATCCCCACCAAATCATTGAATCTAAAAATATTTAAATGAGTTGTTGATTATGGCCACAAAAGGAGATGAGAAATCTTACCTTTGTGCCTCCTCACGATGTTTGGCATCAATCTCTTTATTTGGTGGATATTTTGGCAAGGTCAACTTCTATACACTTTTCAAATATTTCATTACATTTTTTATACATAAATTAACCAAATGGCCAGTGGTTAGCATTTCCCTTTAATAAATGACCTCAATTCCACAATAGTAGCTTGCAATTATGTTGTTGTTCAAATATTTCTTGTACCATTATTATTGATTTTTTTTTTTTTTAATATTGCAAAAACTACCTAAATGCTCCCTCTGTTTTAGATGCTAGGCTACAGTGGATTCGTCACATGTTTTGCTGCCAAATTCTTCCATGTACCGCTAAAAAAAGGAGATGAGAAATCTTACCTTTGTGCCTCCTCACGATGTTTGGCATCAATCTCTTTATTTGGTGGATATTTTGGCAAGGTCAACTTCTATACACTTTTCAAATATTTCATTACATTTTTTATACATAAATTAACCAAATGGCTGGTGGTTGGCATTTCCCTTTAATAAATGACCTCAATTCCACAATAGTAGCTTGCAATTTTGTTGTTGTTCAAATATTTCTTGTATCATTATTATTGATTTTTTTTTTTTTTAATATTGCAAAAACTACCTAAATGCTCCCTCTGTTTTAGATGCTAGGCTACAGTGGATTCGGCACATGTTTTGCTGCCAAATTCTTCCATGTACCGCTAAAAAAAGGAGATGAGAAATCTTACCTTTGTGCCTCCTCACGATGTTTGGCATCAATCTCTTTATTTGGTGGATATTTTGGCAAGGTCAACTTCTATACACTTTTCAAATATTTCATTACATTTTTTATACATAAATTAACCAAATGGCTGGTGGTTGGCATTTCCCTTTAATAAATGACCTCAATTCCACAATAGTAGCTTGCAATTTTGTTGTTGTTCAAATATTTCTTGTATCATTATTATTGATTTTTTTTTTTTTTAATATTGCAAAAACTACCTAAATGCTCCCTCTGTTTTAGATGCTAGGCTACAGTGGATTCGGCACATGTTTTGCTGCCAAATTCTTCCATGTACCGCTAAAAAAAGGAGATGAGAAATCTTACCTTTGTGCCTCCTCACGATGTTTGGCATCAATCTCTTTATTTGGTGGATATTTTGGCAAGGTCAACTTCTATACACTTTTCAAATATTTCATTACATTTTTTATACATAAATTAACCAAATGGCTGGTGGTTGGCATTTCCCTTTAATAAATGACCTCAATTCCACAATAGTAGCTTGCAATTTTGTTGTTGTTCAAATATTTCTTGTATCATTATTATTGATTTTTTTTTTTTTTAATATTGCAAAAACTACCTAAATGCTCCCTCTGTTTTAGATGCTAGGCTACAGTGGATTCGGCACATGTTTTGCTGCCAAATTCTTCCATGTACCGCTAAAAAAAGGAGACGAGAAATCTTACCTTTGTGCCTCGTCACGATGTTTGGCATCAATCTCTTTATTTGGTGGATATTTTGGCAAGGTCAACGGGTCACATGCATAGGGCTTTGTTTTGAAATATTGAGGATAGCAAGTACAAGATGAACATTAAGCATATTCATGATGCAACTGAAGATAAAACACAAATAATTACAAATAGTTTCTGCATGATACCTCAGATGCAAGAGCGGAAGATGCGGTTCCACGCTTGTATGGTTCCACAGAGAGTAAAGTTTCTATCAGATTCACAGCCGTTTTTGGTAAATCTTTGAAAGTCTCCCAGAGAGAGCTTTCATAAGGATGCTGGGGCTTAAATAGAGTAGCATGAGGAAGTTTGGACTTTCTCCAGTAATCGTCTTCCTGTGTCTCTGTTTCTCTGAAGATCTTCTTCCTCCTCTTCCTCACCACTAATCCCTCCGACGCCGACTTCTTCTTCCTCCCCTTCTCCATCGCCGCCATGCGTCACGATCTGTGGAGACCTTGTTGGTCTTGGCCATTTGAACGTGAAGCAGAAACAGAGAGCCCATGTAGAGAGAGAAAGTGAGTAGAAAGAGAGAAGAAATGGGGTGAGGGACCTTAGACTACAAAAGAACAGATTGTGGACCTAATCCATTACTAAAAGTTGGATAGGGACCTTAGACCGATTTTCCCCAAATTAAATGGATCTAAACTAAAAATTCACTAAAACATAAAAAAAAATTTAAAATTCAAAAACAGTCTTTGAAATCCCCACCAAATCATTGAATCTAAAAATATTTAAATGAGTTGTTGATTATGGCCACGTTGCATAGTAGTCAATACTAAGGTCAAGTTTGGCAAGTTCAGAATAAGTAAAAAAGTCAAAAAGTTATTCAAAAAATTAAAAAGTTAACACTATTCACCAAAAGTCAACAATTACAGCTGCACAACTCCCAATTCTAATTTTCTCTTACAAACCAATTTTGACAATTTTTTATTACACATTTTTTCATAAAAAGTCAAAAAGTTAACCCAAACATCTATATTTTCTTCCTCAATTTTTTAGTTCAAAAAGACAAAAAGTACACTTATTTAGGACACCCCAAACAGCCCCTAAGGTATAATTAGTTCCAAAAAAAAAAAAGTTAAGGTATAATTAAATATTATTATAATCAAAATTAAAATAATTATAATAAATTGAAACTTATATTATTTTGGAACTTAATTGAAAAATAAAAATTTATTTTTAACAACTTTAATTTGATAATTTATTGATCTCATTATTACAATGACACGTACCTTAAACACTGTTTAGGGTGTCCTAAATAAGTGTACTTTTTGTCTTTTTGAACTAAAAAATTTAAGAAAAAAATATGAATATTTTGGTTAATTTTTTGACTTTTTATGAAAAAATATGTATTAAAAAATTGTACAAATTAATGTGTAGGGATAAATAAAATTATGATTGGGAGTTGTGCAGTCGTAATTTTTTACTTTTGGTAAATAGTGATAACTTTTTAACTTTTTGAGTAACTTTTTGACTTTTTGACTTTTTTTTAACTTTCTAAACTTGGCCTAAAATGATTAGAAGCAAACATCAATTCATATTATAATTTATATAAATAAGCATTTTTATATGACCTTTTATAATTTTCTTTGGGGAATGTAATTTATTTTATCTCACCTTTAATATAGCAATAATTGTATTGCCGTGTGTGTGTCCTTAGAATAAGTTTTAAAAGTACTATACATCTGTATGGGAAATTTTTATTAAGGGGTGTTTTGGAAAGTTGGTAAAAAGTTATTTTTTGGCTTTTTAGCTTTTTTGGTGACTTTTTGGCAAAAAGCTGGGTTGTTTTGAGTAAAAAAGCCAAAAAGTCAAAAAGCTGGCTTTTTACCATTGTTCCCAAAATAGGCCTAAGATCTTTGATATTAAAATTTTATAAGATAAATGATATAAAATATTTTTATAGTATTTCTCAATATTTTCACAGAGAAAATTTGAATAAGAGAAATTTTGCCCAACTCAAAGGAATTTTAAATTTCTCTGAGTCGAGGTCGAAATTTTTTTAAGTCGGACAAAATTTTTCTGACTCGAATTTTCTCTAAGAAAATGTTGAGTGACCTTAACTAATAAAAAAAAAAAAAAAAACCATTTTGGATCTCTCTTACACACAAAGTTGGAGATAGATGTTTCTCCATCTTTATTACACTCTTTTATATTGAATGTATAATATTTCAATCTTTAAAAAAAAAAATACATATTAATAAAATCCTTTTTAAAATAGTAGAATTTAGGGACACTTTTTCATAAATCTCTTTTCACCTACGTATGTTTCATTTAGTCAACATTATTTTTTTATATTCTAATTAGTCTTATGGATGACATAATTACTAAAATACATCTAATAATAATTCACATTTACAGTATGAATGCTCACATTGTAAAGCATGAATGTCTATATCACCAATTTACTAACCGTTCAAAAAATATTTGTAAGAGTAGAAATGTCTATAATATACTTTAAATATGAGAATTAGGATTTGATGAATCAAATGTTCAAATAATAAGATTTAATAAAATATAAGAATATCTTATAAACTAATTGAAATACAAATACGAGAAAAAGAATTTTCTAATAAATCTCCATAGAATTTATTATGTCATATACAAAAAATTCTGATAAAATATTTCAATGGTATATAACAACCATCTTATTGTTTTGTTTTTTTTTTGAACAAACCATCTTATTGTTCTAATTACCATTTTTAAATAGGTTAAAAGTTTTTTTTTTTTTGAATTTAAAAAAAGATATATGTGCAAAAAAAATAAAAAGATAACATGACTCAAAAAATCAAAGTTAAAAAACTGATTTTTAATTTAATTGCCAAAATAAACCTTAATAGAGGATGGTTTTGAGGTTAATTTAATTGATAATAGTCGGATTTGGTGTGGAGTGGGAGGTTGGTAGAATCAACGGCTAATCATGCGGCAGATGACCACCAATCTTTCAAACCAATGCTCTTCCCTCTTGGATTTTAATAACATCACTCTGCTTCCTCCGAATTTTTTAAAAATAGCTTTTGATTTTTTTAATCTGTATGTTTTGTTTTTAGTTAACTTTTTAATATCTTAATCATTTTTTTAAATTTATTTAATCTAAATACATTTAAAATATATAAAAATTTCTGAAAAAATATTTTAAAAAGTTACTAAATACTAAAAAATACAAAATATATATTCAGTATATTTTTGGTTTTTTTGTATTTATTTTTTTTTTGTATTTATTGAAATTTTAAAAAAATTTCTTTACAAATGCTTTACATTTTAAATACATGTAGATTAGGTGTATCTGAACATAAAAAATAAAAATTGATTAAAGTATTAAAAAAACTACTAAAAATAAAAAAAAATTACAAATTGGAAATTGGAAATTCAAAAAATTGTATTTGAAAACTCAAGCCCAAACAATTTTGATCTTTTCTTCCTGCCTACGGGACAAAGATATCATTTTTTTTTTTTTTTTTCTTTCTTGTTTTTGAAAAGGATATACATTAGTTGAACGTTCATAGATAGCAATGGTCGCAAATTTGAGTTTTTCTTCCAACCTCAACCATAGTTGCCCAACATGTTTTATAACTTGTGTGTTTCTTAATGAAATTGAGAGTAATTTACTGATTAATACTTGCATTTAAGTAGATGCTTCGGTGACTATTATTTTATGACCATTAAATTCTATTCTACTATTTCTGGCCACCATGTTTATATTCCCTAACTTTCACGGTAACGCTTCGAGAATACTGAATAGTTTTTCATGATAAAAAGATTAGATCTAGTTATTTTAAGTTCAATTCTTACTAATGTTTCTTGGGCTTAATGAATATCTATAATTTATAAGTAATTGCAGATATTATGAGTCCAACACGATTAATAAAAACTTTCTTCAGTTATGCTCCCTTTTTTGTAAAATAATGTGTGGATATCATTTCTTTAATTAAAAATTCTAAAATGAAATGTACATATTCTTTTCAATAAAATATCTATTATTGTTTGGCCAAAAAAAATATAATTAATTAAAAAAATTTAACTTAATGTGTATGACAGGATTTGCTAGACCTTAGCTTGATTACTAAATAAATTTCTAAATTAAAAAAAAAAAAATTGCATTTAAGTGGGAACAACTTAGCCTCGTTTGGCAAGTGTCCCTTTTAGTTAAAAAGTCAAAAAATTATTAAAAAAATCAAAAAACCAACAATTCACACCAAAAAGTCAAATATTCCCTTTTCTCTCTACTTTTTGCACATTTTTTCGTAAAAAGTCAAAAAATTATATCACATTTCAATTAAAAAGTCAAAAAATTACTAAAAAAACCTATTCCCACACGATGGAAATACAAGCCAAAGCAAGTTAAAGATTTGTCTCATGTCACAATTTTCACTTGCACTGAATTCATTGTACATGGACCTTGTTTGGTTTGTATTTCTCAAAAATTTTTGGGAAAAATTCTCTACAAATAAGTTTTCAAAAGTAATCAAACCAAACAAATTTTCCCAAAAAAATTTCCCAAAACTTGTTTGGTTTATAAGTTTTCCAAACAAATCCCTCTTTCATACACATCAAATCAATCACTTTTTCCAAAACTCTCTCTCAAAATAATTTTTCAAAACATCTTTTGAAAAAACCCAAACCAAACAACTTTTCGTACTTTTTATCTCTAAAATTTATCTCCCAAACTCAAACCAAACATTTGAATTATTCACATTTGATTATAGTGGTTCTTTTATAAATTTAACTCCAACCTCATTTCTTTTTTTCTTTTTGTGTGTAGACATGCAATGAAAATAGAGATGCTACAAAATAATCATTAAAATAAAAATGATATCATACTCTTCAAGATTTGATTGTCCTTTTTTTTTTATTATTACAAATATTCATTTGTAAATGTGGAGGTATATCAATTTCAACTCATTTGATGGTCCCAAATACCAAATAAAAACATCAACATTTTGGCTCCGTTTGGTGGAGTTTTCAAAATCTAGTTCTACACTCACTTTTGAGTGTGGTATTTGTTTAGGATTTTCAAATCATAATTTTACACTCATTTCTCAAAACTCAATTCAAAACATAATCATTACTTTTCAAAACTCATAACCAATTTATAACTTGTGTGTTTCTTAATGAAATTGAGAGTAATTTACTGATTAATACTTGCATTTAAGTAGATGCTTCGGTGACTATTATTTTATGACCATTAAATTCTATTCTACTATTTCTGGCCACCATGTTTATATTCCCTAACTTTCACGGTAACGCTTCGAGAATACTGAATAGTTTTTCATGATAAAAAGATTAGACGTAGTTATTTTAAGTTCAATTCTTACTAATGTTTCTTGGGCTTAATGAATATCTATAATTTATAAGTAATTGCAGATATTATGAGTCCAACACGATTAATAAAAACTTTCTTCAGTTATGCTCCCTTTTTTGTAAAATAATGTGTGGATATCATTTCTTTAATTAAAAATTCTAAAA